TAAAATTCCGCAGCTTGTTAATGTTATGTGATGCAATTGTCTGTTCATTTGTCTGGTCTTTAGATGACCTCTTGTTACCAGCAAGTTACATCCTTATTTCTTGTCCCTGTCCAAATATCCTGATGTAAAGTTTAAGACTGACAAGGAAGACTGGATTTCTTATCCTAAGTGGGTAGAATGAACAGTTGATCTCTGTATGCTTTATATCTTAGCAGGGTTCTTTTGTTGAGGAGTCAGTTCACTGCTTCTCGGTGACTCAGTTTGCTCCCTTACGCACTGAATCTGGAGACCTCTTCCCATTTGTGTAAAGCAACTGTTTATTATGGATCCCTTAGTACATCCGGTTTTCTTGTGGTCTTCTGTACAGGTCCTTGTCATCTCATATAATTATAGAGGTATTTCTGTTCTTAAATTACCCTGTAATAACATCTCAGAAAACAGCAACTTTCATTTGACTTTACTGTAACTTTTTTTTTTACTCTTCCACCTTTTACAGCAGTGTCATCATTTTTCTCAGTGCTAGCTTTAAGAGGAAACATTTTTCTTTTTTTTTAAACTCTTAAGCTAAAATTACTTTTTTGTTTAAGTCTTTATATACTTGTTGTGAATTCCTTTCCTTAGTGTGACTGCCTCAGTAGACAGATTACTGTGCAATTCTGTAGCCCATGATAAGATCTTGGCAATTGCTGCTTCCCATAGGAACAGAACTGTTAAAATGACAGCATATCATTATGTCTTAGTCTGAGCTACTCCAGAGTTTATGGTACAATAAAATAGTGTGATCAAATTGAGACCTGCCGCGAACTTCCCGGGGAGCCTTTTTGTTGACTCTGAAGGTGTTTAGACTGGACATTTAGTTTCTCTTCTGGAAATATTGACATGCAAATCTATGCAAAATCGCAGTGTGCTTGAACGACTGATGTCATGAACACCTCTTCATGTGATCTTACCTAATACTTACTTGAAGATTCTGGGGTGTATCTTCTCTTTCTTAATGTCCAGTTGGTGTGTGAACAGGATGGGGAAAGTATAGTCAAATGTGCTGCTGTGCTGCGAGTTTGCACGTGGCAACGACAGCGCAGTGCAGAGTGCCAGTGGCAGCCAGACAAGCTGCACAACATACTTAGTGAGCAGAGGGGAACTGGCAGACCTGGGACTCCAGGGTAGTTATGGGTTAGAAGACTGAACTGAGGGTCATTTTTGAAAAGCTAGAGTAATGGAAGGAGAAGGCTGTGGGCTGCAGAGTGAATCACTACTGTTAGGTTTCTGTCAGGGGGAAGGGAGGAAGGGTCAGGCATTCTGGTACAGAAGGCTTTGAGACAAGTGGCTGAGAGCCACTATGAGTGCTTCTTCCTGATGAACATCTGTAGGAGTCTGAAAAGTAAGACTGTATTCATGGGGCTGATCCCTTTTGTCTGAACGGCACTGCCATCTGCACTTGCGTGTCCTTTCTTTGTGGCAGGAAATGTGATGCTGTCAGGCCAAGTGGAACCCATTTGTGCAACTGAAAGCGGCCTTCTCCAGGAGAGCTCTAAAGAACTTCTTATTCCAGTCACTACTGCAAATTATCAGTGATAAGAACTTTCCATATGAAGAACAGTGCTTCAGCAGACTTCCTCTTTCCACTCCTGAAGTTTTTAGGGGTATTTGCACAGGGTACAGGTCTTAAAACCAGAAGATGAGTGGCATGGAATGACTCATGCTCAAAACCAGACACATTTGACTTTGGAAAACTGACTTCAGTTCTGGCCCTTCCTCTTTAAAGTTTTATATTGCATGACCTTTTCAATGAAATGTCGAGCTTCCTTTTCAAATTACAGGATCTCTACGGTGTGACTATGAGCATGATTCAAGAAGGTGTTTCGTAACTATCAATTCCTGTGTCCATCCACTAATTTCAGTTCTCATGACATCACTGGCTTCAAGTTCCTCATAGCATAATAACTACGTGCTTTGAATGAGTCTGCTTTATCCAACGTGGAGATCCTGTAGTACTGTTATTGACATGTTCTGCAACTGCCCAAACACCAGTGAGCATCCATAGTTATGTGACTTCTGCAGTAACCAGTAACAGAAGTTTTAGAGCAATGCACAAGAAAGCCTATAACATGGCCGTCATATGTCATTTGTCATTAGATCAGTTCCCTCCAATAATTTTCTCTTCTGAAGGCTGTCTGGTCTCTACTAAAGTCAGCTTCATATCCTGGAAGTGATCTTAGATTTTTTTTTTTTTTGTCGCTTTAGATGTTCTAGCAACTGCTATAGCCAAAAAGACCCTAAAACTCAACCAAAACCCCAAAGCACTTTTATCCCATGTTGCTGAGAAGAACATGCCCCATTTTTCAGGCATGGACCACTGAGGTCCAGGCATGCATGCCCTTCAGGATTTTCTGTTTTATTGGTGTTCATTACATTCAGAAACGAAGTGCTATACACAGTTGGATTTTCATACAAGGCAGCAGCTTGCCTGTTGCCATATCTAGATTTCTCAGTTTATTATCACACCACCCCCAGCCCATTTTTTTTTCCTGTTTGTTGAAATGTGCTGCAGAAATATGTTTCAGTTTTTAAATTGTCTGTTTTTCTGGAAAGTACGTGAGTAACTTCTTTCTTTTTATTTTTTTCTGTGCCTTTTGGAGTTACGCGTCTCCTAGAACTTTCTTTCAGTACCTTTAGACATTGTAGTATCTTTAAGAAGCTCTAATGTTTGGTAGTGAGGTAATAGCCAGCCCTCTATTCCCTGAGCAATAAACGACCAGTTTCAGATCCGTAAGTAGGTGATGTTGGTGTTTGACTCAGTGGAACTCCCTGAGGCTGGGAGTAGTGTGTATGTGCACATACACACATATGCTTAAGCATAATATTTTTCTATTAGAATGCCTTTGTATCATTCCATTTTTGTAATGAAGCATTTAGTCTGTTTCCTTTTTTAAAAGAGAGGACAGTTCTTTTCAAATTTGTTAATACCATGAAAGGAAACAGTGTAGATTAATGGATTAATGCTGCTGCTAATTTAACCCAATAGTTACAGCAAAAATGCCTCACGGTCTTTTGATTTGGTTTGCATTTTGCTGGTTCGTTTGTTTGGTTTGTTGTTTGTTTTTTTTAATATGAAGCTTAAATGGTGGGATGGTTGTGTTGGCTTTTGTTTTATTTTTTTTTTTAACACTTAAAAAAAAATAACATATATAGGCTCTGTGGGAAATGCGGTTAGAGGTCTAGAAAACCATTTTTCCTAGTTCCTTGTTTTTGTCTCTTATTAATCCTGTACAGTCAGTGCAGATGAAAAATAAAAGCCTGCAAAATACACAGTCACCAACTTAGCATCAGAGATGAATTTATGAAAACATCCATTTTAGCTGCCTCATGTTTGAGATGTTAGACTGTGGCAGTCAAGATCATATTCTCCAGACTGCATTCTTCTTAAGCAGAAATACTGGCAGCCATGTGTGAGGTTATAAAAAGATAGCAGCTGATGTCAAGGGCTTATTTCCGTGAGGAGCCGTTTCAGAATGCCGTACTAATTTTGAGCAGGTATACGTAAAATAGAACTCTTCCCTCGACATGTAGCATTCAGTGTAAATTGATGCATATCTGAATAACGGGGTAGAAAAAGATCAACAAGTAATAAGGTGTAGTAGATAGCCTACTTAAAAAAAAAAAAGAAAATCTTCATTGTACATGCTTCTTTATGCAAAACTGAGAGGAACAGAAAAACAGTTCAGTTTGGCCACGTTTTAGGGATTAGATTTTTGAGCTGGTATCAAGTCCTCCTGCTCTGATGTTGGAAAACTACTCCAGTTTGAACCAGAGCCTGAGCTAATTTGAAACTATTAATAGAGGAGTGCCCAGCCTTTCTGTGCAAGTGATCCGTGTATCCCAAGCAGCCCTCCAAATGCACTAACTCTGTGTGCGCAGAAACCTGGGCTCTGGTCACACTGGATGTGGATCAACGCCACGCTCAAATCTATCTGTATCTGGACAGATAATTAATATTTAACTCTGCTTCGTTTGGTTGACTATATTTAACAAAATTAATTTCATCCAGCGTAAGGAGGATGAATTTAACTCAATAATTTGGTTTTAATGGTGATTTTTTTAGTGGCCTCTGGGCTAGGTTCATTTATTCATTTAATGTGTGTGTGTGTACAATGTCTGTCTTAGCATTTCTTAAACTTAATTATGTCATTGAAATATTGGTTCTACAGTATATCCATTCCTTCAGGTTTCATTAATTTCAATGAAATCTAACAGCTTTACCCTGAAGTTCCTAGTACTTTAATTTTTAAGAATTGCATATTTACCTAGTGTTTATTTACAATGTGAAGTTCTGTTTCTACAAGTCAGGACTAATGTCCAAGGACAGCAGAATTCTTTTCATTAAAACTTTTGAAATTGTCTCAGATAACTCAGCGATTATATGCATCTGAAAAAACCTGAAAGAAAACGTAGTGATATGCTTGAGATGATGTTTTAGTTGAGCATGCGAATGGGATACAAATAACCTTCACCATTTGCACCTTCATGACACCTTGCTGATAACTCAAGATGTAAGTGATCTTAGACAAGTCACTGCTCCATGTGTGTGTGATGCCAAGAGGAGTAGACAAGTATTTTTGGATCACAATGAAAGTTTTCTGACTGCTGCTGAGTCAGCAGTACAATTGATAGCTTCACTGATAGCAGCAACAATTTTTGTAGCGGTTTATATGAAAGGGCTTTGAGACAGAGACCCTGCTCCATCAGGAGTGTAAAGGCACAATGTCTGGTGAATGTTCTGCTTCTTTATTATGCAAGCTAACGATGTTTTAACACACAAATAATGTTAGTGTTGCATTCTGATAAATTTAAACTCAGTTCTTAAGTTGAAGGCCAAAGTGCTTTCTGTCTAGAACTCCTGTATGTGAAGATGCGAAGTCAGATGGGTATTTGTCTTAAAATAGCTAATGGTATGATGATATTAGATGGATTCATATCTAAGACTTTTCGTTTGTTTGTTTCAGGACATCAGGCATGAAGCCAGTGATTTTCCATGTAAAGTGGCCAAACATCCCAGAAACAAAAATAGAAATAGGTACAGAGATGTCAGCCCCTGTAAGTACACTTTCTTCTCCATTGTTTGTAACAGCCTGTTGACCTCTAATGACTTCTTTTAACAGCTAAATGTTCTTTGTAAGAACAAGGTTTCTCTCCTGCATCCAGAACAATTCTTTTTGTTAATATATTTCTTTGAGATAGATGTCACAGGATACCATTATATCCATAAGATTATACTACAGCAGCATACAGTAGATTCTGTATTTGTTAGCCAAAGTCTGAAGATATGGTAATACTAGTGTGAGACCTGCGTGTCTGAACTTATTATCATGACATGTTCCGGTGAATTCTGGTGGGAAGTGCATCTATGAGTGCATGTCCTCTGTACAAGACACAGCTCAGTTCAGTGTTGCAGCCTGTCTTTCCTTCCACAATCCTGTGTACAAAGACAATAACAGACTTGCATATGCCTGGCGTGCTGTGGTTTTGGGATGTGCTGGGAAGTACAGGACTGTAATCAAATGGTTGGCAGATAATACCTGATGCATCAGATAAAGTCCTCAGCTGGTTTTCTAAACTGCCTTCTTTGCACTAAGTGACAATGCCCGTTCTGGGACTCCTTTCCCTCTTTAAGGGTGGAGTACTGCCACCTGTTTTAAATGCAGAGTTTCTGTAGGCTTCATCACTGGGAAAACGTCTGTCTTCTATTCAAAGACAAATGTTATTGTATATCAGAAAACTTTTATACCTAGTGGTGAAAAGTTACTGAAGTTTTTGAGGCAATCAACCAGGAACAACAACATTGCACATCGTTTGCTTTACTAAGCAGTTCTAATATTTGGGGTTGTGAGTAACAAATGGTTCCTTTTTGCTTTTTAGATAATACTGCTTCCAGTCTCTTTCACTTTTTTCCAAAATGTAGGAACTCTTGTATGTGTGTTTTTTGTTTGTTAGTGGTTTGGGTTTTTTTAATCCTAAGTAGAACAAGCTGAGGCTAACAAAGGGCAGTGAAATTACCTTTGCTGTAATTCTTGAATTTTGATCATCCTTTCTGTACGTTAAGGTGTGGTTAGATTGGGAGCAGTAGCTAAATGTCTGTGACAAGAATAAGAAGTCTCCGTTCTGTTTGTCCAATATATGTTTAGGCAAACTTTTAACAACCTTGAACAAGCTGGGTTTGAATGTTTAAGCTGCAAAAGATAAGGAGTCATGTGATGAGATTTATTTAAAAACAGTAACTCGATAACTGTACAAATAGGTCAATGTGATCTGCTTTGCAAATTACAGTTGTGATTACTCAGATGTAAATACTTCCCTTCTTGAAACGTATTCTTGGAAGATAGAGCGCCACTTAGCTTTTTGATCCTAACGTCTGATGGATTGTGCATGGATTGTGCTGTGTTGCCATATACATTAACCAGTGTTTTCTGATTATGCTGCAGTCGATCACAGTCGAATTAAGCTAAACCAGGGTGACAATGACTATATCAATGCTAGTTTGATAAAAATGGAAGAGGCCCAAAGGAGCTACATCCTTACCCAGGTAATTGCTGGCAGTGGGTAAGAAAACTCATGTGGTGATTGAAGTTGTTTTTCATAGGTTTTCTTTAGCCTATTATGTTTGTTTTCTTTATTGTAAAGGCAGTTAAGTGTCTATAAACATCTCTGTGTATACGTAAACATATATGTAGAACAATTTTATAGAAATGCTGCATATTTCTTCCTGCTTTCTGTCAGCGCTGACTGACTTTTTGTAGAATATTTTGAACACTTTGTATGTCTGACTTTAGGTCCATCTAGGTGAGAAGCTCACATAGTCTTAGAAATCTGCTTGTTGGCTTATGACAAGCAACATTTAGGTGTGGCTGAAATGGAGCACACTTCTCCTAGATGGAAGGACAGCACAATCTCGAGACTGCTACACTCTTAAGTTGCCTGATAAGTTCTCTGAACAGACGTGAACCTCACTTATTGGGAGGGCTTCATGTTTACAGAACTCTGTATATGAACTTAAAGATGTTCAAAATCTATTTGAAATAACATACTTGAAATATAACGGATATTTATGTGTTACGTTGAGTGGGGAAGACGTTAACTAAAACATATTAGGGAATTTCTTACACCTGACCTTCTGTTTCAAATAAGCAGTATGCTCCACCACGTGTTTCTTGTTAAACATCCTTCTGAAAGTGATGTTATTGTAGTATTTACAAATAACGTACCTCCTAAGAACACAGCTTGTAAAAGGTCTCAGTTGGACAATGCTGATGCTTCTACCTGTAATGTGAGAGAGGAAAACTATGAATACAGTCTTTGGCGATGGGAATACGGGGAGCAGGAGGGAAGTGGCTGTTTTTCACTGAATCTGTGAATTCCACATGTATCTATATAACGAATTTTAAAATACCCGGATACCCTGTTGTCTTATTCTGAGAGCTAGCAACTGTGCCAGAATTCTTGTTTGTTCTAAATGTTTGGTTCCCTGGAGACTGTCCTGGTCTCTAATCTTGACGTATTTTTTTACCCCTTCCTCCCACACTTCAGATAATGGTAGACTGGGATTAATATTTTCATGCAGCAGCTCTTCCTTCCTGTTTCTAGAGAATAAAGATAAATCTTCTAAGGACGAAGTGGACAGTGCAGTGTTCAATATGAAAATGATTCTGTGCACACAGCTCTTGTTCCGCTTATTCACCACAGGGGAGGTTGATCATAGGGTTGAACTGATAAACCTGTGTGTGGAATAGTCAAGTGTGCAGCTAACTGGTACTAGTTACCTATTCTGATCCAGAATTTAATGGATTCGAATGACTTTAAACCCAGTCATTCTTCCTGAGGACCCTGGCCCTTTGTTTTGTTTGAGCAAAGTGATGGATAACAAATATAAGAGGCACAATGATGCTGGGGTTTGTTGCCCAAAATTAAAGCAATGGTTTTAGAGTAGAAAATAGCAAAGCAATATAGCACAGGCAAAAAGTTGTAAGGAAATCTACTTGGGTGAGTAGATCTTAGTCTTTGAAAGGAGTTACTGTTTTGTTCAGTCCCAGAGCAGATCCATAAAGATTCTGGAAAACCATACAACTTGTTACTGATCTGGCATTGTTTCAGTCTTTTGAATGTTTGTCCATTCAGTCTCGTAATTTTCGAGTATTACAAATAACAGTGATGTATTGCAGAATAGTTCAACGTAAATGTTAATTCTGCTCTTGGTCAATGAGGTTTTATTTCCCCATTATACATATACCTTTCCTAAGAAAATTCTGTCAGCGTTTTCACTCCCAGTTCTCTTCTCTCAAATGAGACTACTTCTCTCTTCCTGGTGTGAATGGGCGAAAAGATTAACCATGCTTTCATAGTGGGAAAATGGAACTTAAAGCTGTATCACTGCTTTTTTTTGCAGTTTGAAATGAGAAGTTGCTTGTTACTTGTCTGAATTTATCGCCTAATGCAGTAACTTTTACTGAGAAACATTGCACTGACATGAACAGAAAATTGTGCTTATTTGTGGGGATTCTGTCTTTGCAGGGACCTTTGCCAAATACTTGTGGTCACTTTTGGGAGATGGTTTGGGAACAGAAAAGCCGTGGTGTTGTCATGTTGAACAGAGTGATGGAAAAGGGATCCGTAAGTACTTTTGTGGTTCTAGCTATGTGTTCATTGCATTGTTTATGGTTTTTCTTTTTAAAAAAACAACCAACAAAAACTACCCCAAAGAATGGAGAGGGGGGAGATGACCATAAGTAATTTTACCTAACAAGTCATGTCTAGAATTGAACACTCAGTGAACCAATCTTCGTGCAGTCAGAAAGTTATTCAGTTTTTAATTGTAGGTCCTAATTTATTCTGAATTTGGATGAAATAATGAATGAACACAGCATGACTCTCCACACAAACAAATATTTGGACTCTACTGCTAACCTAGGTATCGAATGTAGTTCTCTTCAGTGTACACAAATTGCAAATGTGTATATACAAATAATGGCTTTGGTGATTTTGATTAGATTCTGTAGCGTCACACACTTTCAGCTTACATGTAGAAGAAAGAGCGCTAACTAAACAAAGCTATCCTCAATCCTTAGGCGTTTTCATGACTTCATTCAGGGTCAAAATAATTTGACTCATACAGAAGATCCACTGACGGTGTGGTTCTGCAGCTTAAAGGAAGACTGATATTCTTCACACTGGAATTGGTCCTGCTTGTAATCAAAGCAGATGAAGAAATTGTCCCATAAGTAAATGTTCTATATAAGGATGTTTGTTTCTTGCCTTTTGCGCAAACATAAATGACACACAAATATCTCCTGTTTGTTTTTAGATAAAGTGTGCGCAGTATTGGCCACGGAAGGAGGAGAAAGAAATGTTTTTTGAAGATACAAACTTGAAATTAACATTGATATCTGAAGATATAAAATCATATTACACAGTACGACAGCTGGAATTGGAAAACCGTACAGTAAGTACAGAAACTGGTACCAGTCAGATTCTTCAGTCTGAGTTGGGATTCGCCTCCTCATCAACAAGGTCTTGAAACAACAAGAGATAGTTATTTGTAACTAGTTGCTTAGCTGGACAGCTGTGAAAGCTCCCTCAGACGAGTGGAACTTTGTCATTCCAATTTTTCAGCTGTTGTAAAGATGTAGTGGAAGCAGTGCAGTCAGAGTAGCACGTGAAGCTGAGGAGCACACCCCTCCGTTCCATGTAAGTCAGAGTTATTTTCGAAGCAGCTAAAATTTTTCCAAAGGTCCAAATTTGAAATTGACCTAAAAGTAAAAATACCTAATGTCTAAAGCTGTATGTCTAAATGTATAGGTGGCTATTGGCTAGGAAACTGGATGAGGAGTTGTATTTGCTGATTAGAACATTGTTGTAGGCAACTGTGCTTTAAGTACTTGTGTGTATCCAGCCTAAAAGACTTCTTAAATACTGTTTTTACAGACACAGGAAACGAGAGAGATTCTGCACTTTCATTATACTACGTGGCCCGACTTCGGCGTCCCGGAGTCACCCGCTTCATTCCTCAATTTCCTGTTCAAAGTGAGAGAGTCTGGCTCGCTCAGCCCTGAGCACGGGCCCGTGGTCGTGCACTGCAGCGCAGGAATTGGGCGATCGGGAACTTTTTGTTTGGTTGATACATGCCTTCTGCTGGTGAGAACTACTTACTCTAGATGGTACACTATTTCTGTTTGCTTGGAGGAATGGCTTGTTGCAGGCTTGTTCTGTGAAGTATTGCTGCTTGCTATTTCCCACAGTCTTACTTGTATTCTGGTTTGGGATTGTTTTCCAAGGCAGAACTCGTTCTTAACTGGCTGCTTCAAGTCTGGGGAAGAAAAGTCTTTGGTTTTCAGAGTGATTTGCAAAGATGGGCTTTGCCCTCACGGTTAAGAAAAAAGATGCTAGATGTTTGCTAAGTAATAGTGTGAACCATCCTGGAACAATGCAAAGTATGTCTAATGTGTTTCATTTTACAGGGTTGACTTTGCCTGGAGGCAAGGGGAAATTGTCCTGACTTTAGGATAAAACTGGAGTTCCCTTGGGTTTATTCTGTCACTGTGTGAGAGCAGCTAATGCACAGAAGTCAGGCCTAGGTTAACATGTTGTTGTGTGGTTTGTTTTTTTCCCTAATTATACTTTCAGAACAAGAAGACAAAAAAGGGAGAAACGTACAATATTTTGAAGGCCCAGAGTGTTTTCCCTTCTCTGCCTTTTTAGGGACCAAATAAATAGCTGATAGCAATTTTTTATTAATACATTATTTCTGTAACACGGAGGGTAGTCTGGAAGCTCTACTACAAAATGAGTTGCATTTGATCTCATCAGAGCATAAAGCATGTTTCAAATTTTTATTTTCAGATGGACAAACGGAAAGATCCTTCTTCTGTGGACGTTAAACAGGTTCTCCTAGAAATGAGGAAGTACAGAATGGGCCTCATACAGACAGCAGATCAGCTCCGTTTCTCCTACTTAGCTGTTATTGAAGGGGCAAAATTCATTATGGGAGATGCTTCAGTGCAAGTGAGTGCTATTGACTGCACAGCCTAAGGTGGTGGGCTGCAGCTCTGGTGTAACTGCAGCAAACATGTGGGACGAACAGAATAGAAAGAATTTAAATTTCAGGCTTGCTTCGGCTTCAGTAAATATTTGTATTATGAGGTTCTTAGATACAATGCTTTAGATTGTGACAAAAGCACTGTATTTAAGAACGTTCAAAAAAGTACCTGTGATATAACAGGTGGCCTCGTGTACTTTTCAGCACTGTAATTGGGGTGTAGACTCGCTGCATTGTCCTTGTCTTTCATTTTAGATAATAAAAAATCTTCTAATATGCAAGAAATTTAAGTATTATCATTAAATCCCATAAGTTCGTTTAATGGTAAGCAGAACTCTAGCAAGACAGATTCTATTTTGTGCTATTTACATTTTCCAGTAGATTAAAATTTCTTGTGTTTATAGCTGATGTCTTCTGTGTACTGGATGTAGCTTAGGTTTGGAGTTCTTGTGTCTCTCCCCTTTTCATTGATGGAAATGAACAGCCACTGTAAGAATGAAAGGAGAGGTGGAGAATAAAGGCCTTGCCATGTTTAAGTTAAAAGTTACATAAAAGAAATAGAGAAAAGATTAACAGGGGTTTTCCTTCCCTGAAGGAGCAGTGGAAAGAGCTCTCCAATGAAGACCTGGACCCACCGCCTGAACATACCCCACCACCTCCCAGACCACCAAAGCGAACCTCAGAAATGCTCAATGGAAGGATGCATGAACACACAGAATTCTTTCCTAAACACCAAGTAGTAGAAGAAGAGATCACGTGTTCGGTCAGCAGTGTGGAAGAGATGGTTCCAGATGGCAGAGCTCATTCATCTGTACCACTGATCACAGACAGGTAATTCATGTGGTTTTCCACTTTTAATTGTCCCAGGAAGACTGTCCAGTTGGCTTATGGCATTGAACAGTGGTAGGACACGTGCTCACACGTGGCCTTTCATACAGAAGGGTCTGAGCAGACCTTGATGGAATTAGTGCAATAGTTGTTCCAGCTCAAATCTTTTCACTAAAGGTCGTAACACTCATGTTCACTCAACTTCACACATGAGCCAGGGCCCCTTACAGCGTCCTGCTAGAGTGAAAGAAGTGGTGACACATAACGAGGTGGCTTAGTCCTGACTGACGTGCAGCACGTGCCGAGGTACAGATGAGCTCTTCCACTGCTCGGAGACAGTGTTACTCAGGTAGCTGAAAACGAGCTTTCGCCACACTTGGAAACGTGAGGTGAACTGCAAGCAAAGCTGCTTTTGGTGAAAGGCTTAGAGGGGGCTCACGAACAGAGAACTTTTCTACCTGTTATTGTCACCCAAACTGTGAGGGCTGATAAACGTGCAGAAACACTCCGCGCACAAGCGGTGGGAGAGTGGAGGGGCCGAGGCTGCTGCATGGGTAACCTCTAGAGGTCACTCCCGGTGTGTTGGAGGGATTGGGACTGGCTGAAATCCACACGCCCTGGTGTGGCTGTTGTCCTGCGTGTTAGCTGGTTTTATTCAGAACAACCAAATTAATACCACACACAACAAAATCAAAAAATATCAAAATTAAAAAATAAAGTAAAAACCCCTGCACTCACCAGAGACAATCAAGGGAAGGTTTAAAGTTCCCCTACTACGTGGTCTAACAAGACAACTTCAGCTTCCCGTAGGAATACTGGAACTAAATACCAAGTTTTAGTATTGTCTTCAGAACTAGAGCCTTTCCAACAGATGCAGCTGGCAGGCTTGATGTGTTTTATTTATGTCAGCCGGCGGGGGAGCGTGTGACTCTGGGAACAGGAGACCAGTGAGATGTGTTTCCGATAGTCTTTCTTCAAAATACACCTCCTCTAATTTCACATAGCAGAGAGGCTGAGACCATGAGCTGAACCTGTTGTCTCCCTCCAAATTCTGCTGGGGGCGAGGAGATAAACCAGAACTGTTTCCCTGCCCAACGTGAAACAACATTTTGATCAGGATTTTTCTTAATCAGGGGAGATTCTGGAAGTAAAATACTCAAATTCCAAACATCTTTACTAAAAAGAAAGGAAATCTTGGAAATCTGAACGGACACAAATGGAGGCTTAGCTACAAAAGGAGGAAATGCTGCGATGGTAGCACGTCCCTCTTTCTTCCCTCGGTGACAATATAGTTCTGTTACCAGAATATTTGCTGGGGACGCAAGATGCCAGCTCATGCTTTCCATGCCTAATGAAGAGCATGGATTTAAAGCTGGTATCTTGTGTCTTCTCATTAGCTACACAAATCTGAATTTCTCAGGGGATAGGTGATTTCCTGGAAATGCTTTACACAGTTTAGTGTAAACGAACATAAGACACGTCCAGCTCTAAAGAGCTCAGACTCAGATTAATTTCATTTATTACAGTCCCTTGTCTGAGGGTGCAGTCCAGTCATCCTCTGGAACTGCCTGTCTTCATTGATTGCAGAGGCTGGCTTGGACTAGACATCTACGGTTGACCTTGCCGAAGTTAAATCCTACCTTGTGCATGTTCCAGGTGCACCAGGAAAGGCCAGGATTTGAATCCTGAGTGCCCTTGTTCTGCAGCAGTATTGTTGCTGCAGGATCAGGCCTCCTTTGTGATCATCCCTCTTGTCCTCGCGTCCTGGACAGTGCGTCTAGAAGGGGGGAAAGGGAAACTTGCTAGGCAGGAGGGGGAAGGAATGGAGAGGAGAGGAGCTGCCTGATGTGAGAGGACATGGGACAGTGCGAGGCTGGAGGAAATGGAGAGGTAGAAAACAGGCATTGTGCTGGCAGAGGTGAGGCACGAAGCAGAAGCCTTGAGCACCATTATTTTCCTGCCCAGATCTTCTAGTGTCTGGAATGGAAGATTCCTTTCTTCTATGCTTAAGCTGTCAGCAGATGTCAAGGAAGCCTCCCTGCTGCTTACCACCCACTGTGTCTCCCAGCAGGGCGATGCTCTGCTTTCTAAATCCAGCTGGAAGAACTTGTACAGTAGATAGAAAAGTTCCTGCTCAGTTAAGAAGCTTCTTTGGGTGTCACTGTACTGCCCATGGGATGCAGATCTAGTATGAAGAAACAAAACCATGCTGAAAGAGTATTAAAAGGTGAAGAGATCTCCAGTTCCATCACCAAAGCCTTTGGCACTGCATTGAGCCACTCTGCATGAGCAGCCACAGTTCCATCATTCTCTGACCTCTTGGGCGGGTGCTTGAGTTTAGAACCGTAATGTTCTCCTGACCTGGATGTAGGTTTGGTTGGTGCTGGTTCAGCACCTCTCCCAGTGCAGGGAGCAGATCTGTGATAAGCAGTGGAAGTAGGTGGTGTTGAAAACTCAGTCAGCTTATTCTTCAAAGGGCACATAACGCTCCTAAGCGAGGCTTTTGGTGGCAAGCGCTGTTCTGAACCTGTGATTTACCCGCCAGAACTGTAACAGTTCGTCAGAGGCTTTGGTTTGTCACCTGCTGCAGCTCCTAATAGCAGCCCTGATAGATCTCCCGCTTCGTCTGCGGTGTTTGGTGGGAGAGGCCGTGCTCTTGTAGAGTCTGCATGGCTTCTCTCCTAAACGGAAAATCCAACACTGAATGTTTATTTCTTTGTCCTTAAGCACTAGTCAAGACACTGAAATTCGGAGGAGAACTGTTGGTGAAAATCTGCGTCTCTCGCCCCACAAAGAAGAGCCGATGAAGTCAGAAAGCTCCGACGAGGAGGATGAGAACATGGTGACGACTTGGAAGCCGTTCCTAGTGAACATGTGCATGTTCGCTTTCCTCACGGCAGGAGCTTACCTCTGCTACAGGGTGTGGTTTCACTGACGGACGTGCCGAAGGATCCACCCTGCAGAAAGCACCCACCACTCGGTCGGTTTGTGATAAGCTTCTGGAAGGAAAGCGCCTGGGGCACGCGAGCCTTGTCTCAGCGGAGGCAGGTCATGGGGTGAAAGGCCAGAACTTTGGTTAGGGCTTAGGGAGAGCTGATGCACTAGGGTTTGATCCAGCCCTGTGGTCCCAAGAACAGAATATTGCAATCTCAGGGCCTTGAAAATATTCAGGAGTAAGCAGAGAAAATGCCAAATAGTCTGTTTTCCTTTTTTTCTTTTCTTTTTTTTCTTTTTTTGTTTTTTTAAACTAAATAATAGAATTACAACACATTGTTGTTTTTAGCCTTTTTTAAAAAGCTGATTCTTTTTCTTTTGTGTTTCGGAAAAACTAGGCACAAGTGAAACTCGCTTGTACTCTCCAAGTGTTGTAACCAAATACATGACTTACATTGATGAGTTCCCAAAAAAAGAGAAAGAAACCCACATACCTGAAGAATGTAAACTTTTTAGAAGGGGAGAGTGGTGAGGGGAGAGGTGTTTGTGGTTGGGTTGTTTTGTTGTTTTTTTTTTCTTTTTTTTAACTTGCTTCATCATTAAAGACTGAGTTGTGGGCAGTGCCTGTGGTATTGAGATATTTAATCCTGGTGTAACTGTTCCTAGAGAGCTGATTGTTTTACATGTGTTTAGAGAAACAGGCTTCTGCGTTTGCTCAGGGTATCCCAACATGTCAAGCTCTTTTTTTTTCTTTTTTTTTTTTTTAAATAAGTATATCTCCTCATTGACTTTTGTTGCACTCTACTTGCACATATGCCTATTTACATTGCACCATGCTTTGTAAAGCTGTTTTTACTTTTATATTCTGGGTTAGGAGAGGTTGAGGGGAGGGAGAGAAATGGGAAGGGAAATTCAACCAAAACACGTCCACCAGCATTTTGCAGTTGGCGTTCAGAAGGACCAGTTCTTAAACCTCATCATTGGGAATGTAAAATGCAGTTTCACTCAACACCTGCTCCGTAGGGAATAGCGCGCTTCCTGCACGGGCCAGGGAGGTAACGTACTCGGAGCATTGCGGGCAGCGAGCAGGAGAGCATTTCAGTGAACCCAGAGCAATTAACGCTGTGGCAGCTTCCTTAAGGCATAAAAATTGAACAGAGACACGTTGGCCTGCGAGCGTGTTGGTTGGCTCATGATGTGGGCGGGTGTGGGTGCTGCTTAAGACTTAAAATGCTGGTCTGGTTTGGTTTGGCATGAAGATGTGCCCTTCAGCAGCTTTCGGGTGTGGTGGTGGAAGAGGGCAGGCCTGGCACGGCTGCAGCCAGGGCTGCTGCTGCCCTGAGGTGGGCGAAGTGATGGGTGGGTTTGTCCTGCGCCACGCTGTGCCTGTTACTCCGCTCGATCCGGGGCCTGAATAACGCCGAGTGCTTGTAAACACAGATTTGGGTGCGTTGGTGGAACTGCGACTGGAATCCGGCGTGGCACTGAACGGCCTTGGTCAACGCTGTTCCTCTGGTTAGTACTAAATTACTAACAGCTTAAAGAGCAATTGCAAAGCTTTCCTTGCTCATGTCATGGGGCAGAGGGTCTGAGTAAACTCCCTACGGAAAGTTGTAGTGATGGAAGCCGAACCATGGCAGCTAATTTGCAAGTATTACTAATCCATTCTTGTTATTTTCAAAGGCTTTGTAGATTTATAGCACTTTGCTGCCATTCTCAGCGCAGACATGGCTGTGGAGTGTCTTTACGTGTCTCTCCACTCCATATTTATTTTTCCCAAGCTGGCTGTAGGTGTAGCTCTTTTCCTTCAGTGGATAAGTTGGTGAACGGGAGGGGGTGGGTGGGCGGAAGTTATTTCTACTTTGTGTTTTGTTAAGCTTGCATCAAGGGCTTTTCAAAAGTACAATAAATAATCCTCAGGTCGTACTGGGAATGGATACTTTACCTGTGAGACTGTTGGTCAGACCAGTACTTGAAAGGAGGAATGTTGTAATCAGTCGATATTTAGTTATATTATTGGAAACATGGAAAATGAGTATAGAAAAATGGTAATATATAATGGCTCATCCGTGTATTTAAGATACAGTATGTGACTGCTTCGTCCCCACTATCCTCTCCATCAGCTGGTAGAACATTGTTCTAAGGCAATATTTGTACCCATTTGTACTAAAATGCATGTGAAGTCTTCTCGTGTCCTGATGAAATACCACGTGCTTGAAGGGTGAAAGAACTTCTATTTCTGCTTCCTGATGTGCCCAAGTTAAATTTGCATGAACTGATCGTTAAGCGGCTGTGGTTCAAAGGGTGTTGCTGGAGTATCCTCGTTCAGCGATAGACTGGTTTGGTGTTTATCAGATAACTTGTACTCACCTAATCCTTGGCATGACTTCCTATGGAATTTCTGCGTCCTCAGTGTAACCCGGTTGTTCGGCATGGTTCATTTCAGCTGCGTAAGTGTAGTACAGACATTCCAGAGAGTTCAGCAGCCATACTCACACCTCACCTCCGGTCGCTTGGGGAAAGCGAGAGCTCCATGATTTCAGGGTAGGACTTGCTGTGCTGCTGTCCACGCTGCTCTGGAGGAGGGAGAGAAAAGCCTCTTCCGCAGGAGCGCGCTTTGATCTGCAGAAATAGAGGCTCCTGATGCCATGGCCCGTTGAAAAATGAACAGAGATACTGCTCCCAAGAGGGAATATTTTACATTTCAGGCTTGACAGAAAAGCAAAGTATCCTTCCTTTGAATCCAGAGTAAGTCACTTGCAAATTATTCTAACAAGAGAAAGTTGCAGATGACAAAAAATGTTTTGAACACCCCCCTTTCCACCCAGGTATTTTGCCATTCAGAATATCTGTTCCGAATCCTGAACTTGCACTGTCCCAGGATAGGCAGTGGAACAGCCCACGAGCCCGGTGAGGTGTGTCTAAGGCTGGTGATACTGAACTGTAAACACTTTTGTTTTGATGTCCTGTATCTGTATGTAGTAGTTTGGGTGTGTATATACAGTAGCGTTTCAAAGTGGGTGTATTGGTTAACCTATTCCTGGAAAATGGACAAATATCCATGTTAAACTTGTTAGAAAGTTAGTGAGCTGCTCTGCTATATGCCTTAAGCAAATATTTACTCATCAGGTCTTTCTTTTTTACAGATTGCCATAGAATAAACTTTTTTAAAAAAAAGAAAAAAACAAAAAAGCTAAATGTTTTGGTATAATACATTTTCAGGTATCTTGTCTTTTGTGTAAGCCGCTGCAAAGACCTCACAGGTCATAGTAAAATTGTACAGTTTTTCAATTTCCCATACAAGTTTTCAGTTCTCATTTTAGTTGTAACAATAAAATCTTTTTTTAAAGAACATACCTGAGTGTCATTGCTTCCTGTCTTCTCCGTGCTGGAGCCACTGACTCCTGTTCCGAGCCGCTTGCAGATCGGGGCTAGTGTGACAGTTGGTGGGGGGTTTGTAGAGTGAGTTAAATGTTACTGTAAGAACTTACTCTCTTTTACTGAGCTCCGACCTACAAGTAAGTGACAGGAGTAGTCTGTGTCTCTTCCTGGCACATACATCTCCCTCCTCTAGTCTCTCACTTTAAACGTTAAGTTTTAACTATCTTGGCTCAGGAATCAGTGTATTATAAAAAAAAAAATGTAGTAACTCTCAAGCAAAAATATTTTTTGCAACTTTCAGTTGTGCCTTAACACGGAGCTGTGTTTGGTAGGGACAGGGTTGTGTACCTGTTTGTTACAGCAGCTGCAGCCATCACATTGCCGTGTTGTTTGGATTAAAGTATTTACCTCTTTCTTTCTATTTTTAAAGCTACAAAGGGAGGAGAGGTGCTTGAAGAGAGGATTGTCACAAGTTTATGTAGAACAGCTGTGGGGGGTTTCCATGCAGTGCCCCTCAGAAACTGTCAGTACCTGAACCTTCAGGCTGCCTTCCGAGAAAGTGATGGGGCTGCCCCGTCTCCTGGAAGGCACCAGCTGTTTCCCTTTCCCCCACCTCCTGAAGGGGAAGAGGAAGGGAGAGGGGCCTGGGGAAGTGGAGAATTTACCCATGTAGAACAACTTCTTTCCTCTGCTTTTAAATAAATCTGCCAACCAAAAGCAGAGTTCCAGCACAGATAAGCAGCCTCTTCAGTTTTCCTTTGCTATGGAATAGCAGGATCTAACACCGTGGTCCTGCTCTGCACACATCAGGGTGTGTGACATCCTGCATATCAGGCTAAGACATGTGTCAATTAAGCATCTTCATTCCCTTCAGGGCTTTATTGCCTTAAACCTGTTCACAACACCAGCACATCAGTATCAAGCACCTGCAGGAACTTGTCTCAAATGTTTTATTAGAATTTTAGAAAACAGTATGAAATCCAACAAATAAATACTGAATAGAAAAGTAAAATATATATATATATAAAAAAATATATACATATGAGCCAAACCCTTTCAAGTATTTTACCTGAAACCAGGCTTCTCTGTATGGCTCCCCTCCACTAAGTTAAAAAAAGGTCAAGTCAGGAGCCTGACAATGGGCATATGATTATTAGAAATCTTGATCCATGACTAAATGAATACATCAAAAAAACAACAAACAAAACTTATACAGAGCTATCCGTGTGTCCGTCAGACCTGTACCTGGCAAATACCACACAGCCTGTGCTGTGGATACACACTCAGTACATATCCTTGTCAGTCCTTGCTCCAACCTGGCCTAAGTTGCCATGATTGTGACAAAATCAGCTTCTGAAGGAACAAGCTTTCCTCCTGCAACTAAATTGTACAAGGAAAGGAAAGCAAAGCACCAAGCAGTGCTGCCAGATTGTTCTCCTGTCTGTGGCCGTTGATGCAAATGATGGACTGTTGGAGAGTGATCGTTTCTCTCCTCTGAGAAAGTAATTTATTAATTTGGCATTTATGGGAAAACAGATCATGTTTGACTTACGGTTTGAGCAGGGACAGATAATTCCAATGAGATGGAGAATTTAACTCAAGTGACTACCTGGTTCCTTGTTCTAAGAGATCCTAGATTTTATTCATCCAGCACTTAGTATTTCATTTTGTGCTCACAGACAGTGAGAAAATATATTCCAGCCCACTTGGTGTAGATGGCAAACTCTCCTCTCTGGAAATAAACCTGTCCTCTCAGCATGCAGCATGTGCATAGCAGGGCATAAGTAAACCAGACACTGATAAACAACAAAACAAAATCCTCAAGTACCCATGTGTGGCCATGAGGACAATATGATTCAGCTCCTCATATTCCACAACTAAAATACTGTGATTTCGATTTCAGCCTCTTGTTGTACAGTTTCTCTTAGTTCACAGCAAATCCTGTCCATTTTCTCAAAGGCTTGCCGTCCCTTTTCACCTAAAGAGAGAGAGAAAACATCCCACACTGAGGACGAGAAGGCAGTTAGAAACACCCTGAGAAAGTGGTACTCCAGAAACACTTCTGGTTTGACCTCGTTCAGAACCAACAATAACTAACGAGAACTCTCAGTAGTGACAAACGTCTCTAAGGGAACAGTGTT